CTGGGAGTTGAAGTCCACTCATCTTAAAGTGGCCAAGTTTGGACAACACTGATCTAGGGGAAAGAGATTAGATATCAAGTTGCCTGTACAATATTTAATCCAAAAAAAGATCATCATGTGAAAGGAAATCATGAAGTTCTGCTTGTTCAAGGACAATAGGATAAATCAAATGAAAAGAACATCTACTGTTAAAAATATGGACTCTGTTGAAAATTTATAGCTGATGTCCAAACTGTTTACAATTTTTTAAAATATGTGCATTAGATATAGAAGCCTACACATCATGTCTTTTTGTACAGTATTTATTCTGGTAGAGTGAAACACAGAACTTGGGAGTCAAATGAGTTTTGGAGTTACATTTGCTGAACGTTCTGCACTAGCTTCTTGTTGATTTCCAGGTATAATTCAATTTGATGATTTTGATGAAAAAAAATGCTAAATGGTCTTGAACTGTGCTATTTGAAAAACAGTTCTCTTTTTTCAGGCATTTGTCTTTTTTCTGAGATCATCTTTCTCTCTCTGCCTGGACTGTTTGAATTTTAATACTCATTGTTCCATTCACGCAAAATAATAAAGCATTGTTTTGGAGCAAGGATAAAAATGGACTGCAAGATTTGAGCATATTTCTTCTTCTACCAAACCAGGGCAAATAATGAACCTAAGTGATGTAGTGGGGAAGGTGTTAGACTTGAATCTACCCTCAGCCACAAAAGCTCACTAGGTGATTTTGAGCTGGTTGCTCTCTCACCAAACTTATACCATAGATTTGTTTCTATGGGGAAAATTCAAGGATACAATACTATGTATGCTGCCTTGAGCTCCTGGAAGAAGGGCAGGATATGAATCTAATAAATAAAAATCAATAAATAAAACCAGGAAATGTAGTTTAAAGCAAACTATAATTTGCTAAGTCAGCTAACCAATCCAGAATTTGGTTTGTTTGAATGTAGTTTAAATTACAACTTGCATGTTAGAGGAAGCCAGGAATCAGAAAATGTGGAACTGAATTCTGTTTCTGCTTTCAACCATGGGGGAGGAGACGTCACTTGGGCTACTTTATACTTATAGATATAAAACTGATTTAGCATCACAATGTAGGGACATTTCAAACCTATGTTCCAGGAATGGAATGATGAGGGGAACTAGTTTAGAATATTTCATTCTTTCTCTAGATCATGCTAATATGACCATTCTGGGGACAGTCCAGTGGTTTTTCAGAAATTAATCCTGTGAAATGGAAAAGGTGTATAAAGTTATAGACATGGTTCATCCATGAAACAAATTTGCTTCATCCAGAACACAGTGTTCAGAACCATTTTCAATTCAGTGGACTAATTTTTGGAAAACTGGAGTTTGGGTTTTCCACATACTTATTCCCATGTGAGCTGTCCTATTGCTAGTTATCTTATAGTGATAACTTTTGATAAATTTGTTAGAATGATGTGATGATTGAACTAACACAATGCATTTTTTCCCCAGTATATATTACCTGTCCTTGTTCAGCAAGTGCCTTTTCTAGGTCCTCTATTTGAGCTTGGGATCTGTGGATTTCTGCCTGAAGCTGCTCACGAGTCTGTAGGATGGGATTGAAAAAATGTCAAACTTATTCTGATTGCTGCTATGCTAAATTACAATGCAATCTTATCATGCTGAATGGCCTAAGCAAACACTGTAGACATTCAAATATCTAGCCACACATTCAAATAATTTGAAGTGCTAATTGCACATTTCTTATACCCCTGGGAGATGTTTGCATGGAAGGCTATAATATTGGAACTGACACATGCTAAAGACAGCCTTAGCTCTCTTATACCAGTTCTACACACTTCAGGGACACATTTTCATGTCCATCATCCTGTATCATCTATGCCTTCTAGATTATTAAAGATTGGTTAAATATAACAACATGCCCACTGTCAGTAACCATAGTGAAATAGCTACAAAAAAGTGAAAAATGATATGCCTATGCAACTGTCCTAACAACCCTACCCTTTCTTATTTATTTTCTAGTGTTTCTGTCTCCAGTAACATTGCATTCCAAATTCAATCTGCAAAATTGTTTAAAGTAAAACATGTCTTGGTTAGGGATGTTTACTTCCTACCTAGGGATGAGTTGATCAGTTTATTTCGACTTTATGTCAATTTCATTTAATGTTTAATTATATACTTAATTATATATGCAAGTATAAACACATCGATCCTCAAGTCATAACCCAGAAATGTTTTTGATATGTTTTTGAACTGAGAACTGTACTGGAACACTGGCAAACATAGAAGCAAATCGATAACTATATGATCAGATTTCCATTTGTGCTGGAATTCATAAAGACCACATTCTTGAACTTTTATTCCTTTTGTTTAGAAATCTAGGCTTTTATATTCATTTATATGAGATGTTATAGATGTAAACTGTTTACTTTCAGAGATTTCAGATTTGTTGCATCTGATATTCTGTGGGATATTATTCCATAGATAAATCATATATCATGGAGGCAGAGGGAAACTACCAGTAGGTCTTGTCACATGTCCAGAAAAGAGAGGAAACTAGTCTTGCTCTGCTACTCCAAAAACAACATAGCTAGAATGCATATTCATTGAATTTAGATATCCAGTTTACTCCCTGAAAGTCTATGCCTAAACAAACAATCCTGTCAGATTTCAAGACCATGTGAATATATTAGATAATATGGGGCATTTCAATGCTACCTGATACTTATTGTCACATAAATAAGCAGGGGGTGGGGGGAACAGGTGAAGACAGGATGAATTTGGTTCTAGGAAGCTTTAATCTCATGGGAATGTTCTCCTCCTGTTACCTGATTACTTTATCTCCAGTCTGGTAGACTGTTTGTGCAGCCTTAATATTCTAGCCAAGCAACAGGTCAGAAATGATACTTGCAAGAAACAGTTCCTTTCCATGGAAAAACCGATACCCTTACACACTAGAAAGGTCTGGCAGGCATGTCTACTTTGGGAAAGAAGCCCAGTTTGAAGGAAAGCGGAATGCCTAGGAATAGCTTCTCCCCTGTTTCTGTGTACAGCAGTTCTTTTAGCCACAGGGAATAAAAATGAGAGAAGAGAGAGAAATGTATATTTTATGATCATAAATAATTACTTCGTCCGAAATCTGTATAAGGTACTTTTCTGAAAAAGGTGATCCACAAGGAAGAGAAAACAAATCAACATATGCAGACTATTCAGCTTGGAATATATTCTTATGAAATGTATATGAGCATTTAATATTCAAGGATATAGTTTAGAATTTCCATAGCTTTTAATGTCAAGGGTTTTCCTTTAATCACTCTTTTCAGGCTAATGAGGACTATCTGTGTGTGTGCTTGTATGTAAGTTTTTAGCAACCTACCTTCATCATTAGACAGAAAATTGTCTTTTTATTCCAAATTTAAATCAACAAGAAAATGTTGTAATATGTCAGGAAAGAGAGAGAGAGAGAGACAGACAGACATGATTTCGATGCTCAGGTCTTGCTAGAGGGATACTGGAAATATGTGGTCTGCAATGCAATATCAGAAGGATTTCTTAATATATGTAGTTTTCTGATGTATTTGTGGGGGAAGCAAAGCAAGTTTGCTAAGTGTAAAGCATTCCCATAATTTCACATACACTGCTCCCCAGGAGTACATTTGACTGCCCACATAAAGGCTAAATCCTTGTAGTCAGTGCCCCATTCTCAGCATATCTTTTTACATAGGTTCCTCTAAAACAAAGATATGAAAGGGAGGGGAACTGAATATTTGTAGAGAGCTTAGGAACAACATGATATGGTCACAAGTCTTTACTTTCATGTAATATAAGCCATTTAGACCTTAACTTCTCGTTCAGCATCCAATGTTCCTCCAACTTGTTCTTGCAACAGAGCATATGCCCTCTGTAAAGCTTGATATTCCATTGTCAATTGCCGGAATCTTAATTCTGTTTCTTCTTTTGCCATACCCTAATGTGAGAAGGAACATAAAACTGAACTCAGTATGCAATTTTCCTGACAAAGCACATCAATAGCATTCATGAATATGTTTTATGAACAATACGACTTCTTCCATAAAATAGCATTTTGAGAGAATTATAAAAAATAGTTATGTATTTATTAATGAATTAACTGAAAATATGTTTAATGCAATATCTGTGCTAGTCTCCAAATTATGTGACCAAGCTAGGAATAACAGCTTAAAGTCTAACAAATGTACCAATGACTTTTCTTGGACCAGAGTCCAAGTTAACAGATACCAATCATTTAAATTTCATGGAGAAAGTCTATCTATGTGGTCACTAGGAGTCGACAATGACTTGATGGCACATAATCAATCAATCAATCAATCAATCAATCAATCAATCAATGAGTGTCTTCTCTAAATAGAAGATAGAAAAAGCTTCCATGTATGGCTTAAAATATTCTATGTTTTGAAATCTGCTTTAGAACAGATCTTGTTGATCAAGGGTATACTATAATTATCTCTCTGCAAAAATTATATTATTTTTACTAAGACAATAATTTCATTACATTCAAGATAATATATATTTAAGATAAATTCCTGCTTGAATTTGAACATTATACACATCATAAATTACCTCTTCCAAGTCATCATCTGGTGTGCAGGGCGTTTGATCTGTTCGATCGGTTTGATATGAGATTGAAGAGCCGTCAGATTCAAGGGAGGCTTCTTCATCATACCCAAAAAACGTTTCCACCACTGGCTTCTGACCAAATGACAATGTGTGAGTGCAAACAAGCAAAAGTTGTAAAGAGGCTAAGCACAACTGACAATAAGGAATAGTTAGATTTCCTTCTTCTGTGATGCAGTGATATTTATGAATCTCAGCAATTTTCTCATTATATAGTAGTTTATCAGACTCTGCCATATAAATGGGGCTTCAGAGTTAGTAATGATTATCCATCAGGTACAATTCATAGTTTCCTAATCATTAATGAATACTGAAGCTGTTGTTGAGCCAGCATAAATCTTCCATAATTTCAATATAGAATCATAACAAATGGGAGTAAACTTGATATTTAATCTATCGTGAGATAAAAAATTGGCACAATCATCTCTGAGCATTCCTTCAATGCATAAAAAAAGGGAATTTGAGCTGAAAGAAAATCTTTACATGGACCTTCATAGAGGTAAAGAGGCTTAGGGAGAATAGCTAAAAAAGGATAAAAGGAGGGGACATAAACTGAGAATGAATTGGTGGTGGGGCGGGGGGAGGGAATGAGAATGGAAGGAGGTTTGGTTTAGGGTACATAATTAATGGACCTGTAGGGATTAAAAAGCTCTATGGAGGAACTTGAATAAGAGAACAGGTTAGCATCTTTTCATATACTGACTGAAAATCAAAATTTTAGTCAAAGAATGTTATCGTTTACCAAGAAAATCCCAATTTTCTAGTATTCTAGAGAGTTGGAGCTATTGGACTCATGGGAGCGGGAAATACCCCTACCTGATTCCCATAAAAAGACTCAGAATGAGCAACAAAGAAAGTGCTTATTTTAAGAGTCAAGAGAAAACAGAAGGTAGTAATTCCTTGGAATTCACTTTGCTGCTTCTTAAACTATGGGAGATGTTTAAGCTTCTGAAATGTAGGAAGAAATGTGGAGGAAATAGCAAAGATCTGCTGGAGCACTTCCACCAAGGTTGACAGCCTCACCTGCAGGGTCAGCAGTCTTCTATTCACCCACCCACATGTGAGCCACAGTTTAGATCAGTGGTGGGTTGAATGCCGCCTTCCTAC